GAGAAGGGCGGTGTAGGCGGCCGGGCAGGCGGCCCGCAGTTCTGTATGCACAAATAAATAAATCTTTAAAAAAAAAAAAAAAAAGAAGGGTTAAGAGAGGGGACCTTGAGAAAGAGGCAGCCAGGACTTGGAGGAGGGGCGGGGTGAGAGGGGGCTCCATGGTCCTCCAAGGCCTGGAGGGAAGGAAGAAACTGCTACACGCTGAGCCTCAGACAGGAGCAGGGAAGAAGAGGGGAGAGAGAGTTGTTAAAAAGGCAAACCTGGAGCAGAAGGCGGCTGCAGAGAAGGGCGGTGTAGGCGGCCGGGCAGGCGGCCGGCTGCCGAGCAGCAGCGGGGCTCGCACAAAGCCTCGCCCTGACAGGCCTGTTCAGCCTTCGGAGTCCAGCCCTGGAGTCCAGCCCTCGAGCAAGTTTATACCTTGGAGGTCAGCCCGGGTGAGATGAGGTGAAAGGAGAAGAGGCCCCGCAGCACAATGGAGAAGCCACAGGAGGGAAGTGGAAAAACCTGGGCTGGGGCTTAGTCCTGGCTCAGTCGCTCCCTGGGCTGCACAAACCCCTGAACGCCCCTGAGCCTCAGTGCGCATGTCCAGTGCGCAGCTCGCGGCCCCGCCTGCCGCGAAGATGCAGGACCCGAAGGGTGCGCGGGGCCGCGACAGTACCCTACTGGGTTAAGATGAGGGGTTCCTCAGAAACAACGGAGCCCGCACCAGGGGGTACCTGCTACAGACTCCTTTTCCCCGGGAAAGGAAAGGAGTTTAGCAGCGTCGCTCAGTCGTACATGTTCTGTGGAAACCCTGAACGTGGCAGGGTGCCAGCACACCACGCGGGCTAGGTCTGTGGTCACACTGTGACCGCCACGAGGCAGGTGCTCAGAGGCGCACACCGGGGGTGCCAGACAAGGCAGGACAGGGCTGATGTAGTTCTAAGAGTTACATATAAGGCAGCTGCACACACGTTCATGTGAGTACAGCTACATCTACACACAAGGCACACACACCTGATTACCTTTAGGCCATTTGTATTCTGTGTTGACATGTAGGAACGTCCGTATGTCGTGTTTAACCTGGTTTCTTTTACATACATGCTGAAGTAACGTAATTAACAGAAACAAATGAGCAAGAGATGATCCCCGCCCTAGAGGTGACCCACATGGCGCCTCAGACCTCTCCTGACCCACCCGCTGCTCCCCTCAGCAGTGTACTTCGTCGGTCTGCCTGTTCTGCTCCCCACTCTGTCTCTGGTGAGTCCTCTCACCGCCCCTGCACCTCTGGCCTGTACCCAGTTCTGTATGCACAAATAAATAAAACCTTAAAAAAAAAAAAAAAAAAAGAGTCCACTGATGAGAATTTGCTGTACCCTCCAAACTCCTGAACCTCAGGAGGCATTGGGGCCCCAGTGTTCTTGTGTGAATGTGGCTGTGGGAGCCCAGGCCTCCAGGAAGAAGGCCCAGGATAAGCAGGGAATTGTGGAAAGAAGGAACTATATGAAAGGAAGGAAAGAACAGTTTTGGGACCAGAAAAGGCAGGCCGGAGCATTGTATTTCAACCTAGGGAGCATCAGCAATCTGGAGTCAGGCTAGAATGTATTTCCACATTAGCCTTCCCTGTGACTTTCTCTTCAAAGGAAAACAAACTGGAAAGAAAGTGAAGTACGGAGTTCTTCAGAGCTCAGGCCTGCAGAGGTGGCAGGATCGGGGCCACGAGGAAACACATCGTTTCATTCAGTACTCAGCACTTAATTTCATTTCCACTCGAGGGCTGAGAGGACAGCGGACACCCTCCCAGCTAAATTTAAGCTGGAAGAGAAAACGAAGGTTGTGGTCAGGATACGACCGTACTGAGGCTGTGCAGGAAAGGAAACTGAGGCGGACTTCAGAGAGAGGTTAAAAAACTGCAGGCAACCCAAGAAGGACAAGGAGGCGGCTGGCCCGAATGTAGCTTGACCTCAAGGCAGTGAGAGGGAAGGTTTCCTCGGGCACAATCGCAGGAGAAGCCCAACGCCTCAGGCATGAGGGTCAGTGAGAGTCGGGGCAGTGCGTGCATATGAATAACCAGGTGACAGGCATTTATTACAAAAGTCAGTTTATTTTTCCTTCCTGTGTTTCATATTTTCCCTTTTTGTCAGTCATGAGCCACTGACTTCAGGTATCTGCTTGATTAACAACTTTATAACTACACCACATTTCTGAGTAGAAAGAGGTTGAAAACAGCCCCCGACCCAATGCAAATTAGGCAGCCCTCAAAATTGCACATGCCCCCCTAGTTTGCTAATGTTTTTAAAATCTAGAGACAGCATGACCTTAAAACTTGATAATGAATTAATTAAAATATCAATAATTCACAGCCTTAAAGACACTCTACAATCTTCTAAAGGACAGTTACCCCTCGGGCTCTAGTCACCCATTGTGACTCACCAAAGCCACGCAGTAGAGCTTCCTCAGACAGCGGGCCAGCCCTTTGCTCAGTCTAGTCTTCTGATGTACCTCAAGGAACCCCGCTGTAGTCGAGATTAACCCTCCAAAACCAGAGCTAAGCAGATTGTGGTTCTGGTGGATCCTTGAGGCCCAGGCAGCAAGCACAGAGTTGCTACGTGTGCTATGAGTTCCGCATCCGAATGCTCCCAAGCAGCTGGTATACCGTGTGCTCCGTGACAGGCAGGCTGTGGACTGCCAAGGAGTTAGAGTTCACTTTGCATGAGGATGAGAAGACAGAGCTGAATGGTTCAGACCAGACAGAGTGGCAGAGCCATTCAGCACAGGTGTGATTTTCCGCACCACCTGGCAAGCATGGATGCTTTGTCTGAGGCAGACTATGGCTTGATCCAGCTCGAGCACCTTATCAGGATGTGATACCTCCACAAGGGGCCAAATCCCTCCTGAAGAAATGAAATGCAGCAATCCGTGCTGTGCCCGGGACATCACTGATGCAAACTGGGCGGGACCCCTCGTGGCCAGGCTGGAGAGCAGGCCCAAGTCCGAAGGCATATTGAAGGATGAGGGGCTAAACCTCAACAGGCCACACAAAGATCCTGACATACGCATAGACAACTCAGTACGTCCATGAAGCAACAGTAAAAATCACCAACAATAATTCCTGTAGTGTAAAAACCAGCCCAGTCGTCACTGCTGCCAGCCTCTCAGGGGGCAGATGTCGCAGAAGAGTCCTGGCAATGTGAGGCCTGGTAATGTGTGCTTGAGTTGTTAGGGCCACCCCCGAATGGAGGGCACTGAAAAAGTAACATCTTGACATCTCCAATTGTTCTTTTTCTCTGTGGGCACTGGTCACTCACTCAACACGTGAGCCTGTCTCTGCAGAAGGTGACGTATTTCCCTCACTATTAAGGGTGAGATAAATAGAATCGTGCAACTTGTCTGTGAAGAGAAAAAATATTAGCCAGGCGGGGTCGGTTTCCTTCTGCTGGGGCATCATGTTTTCAACATCATAACGAATTAGAAAATGATTGTGAAAATAGCATTACAAACTCCACAACGTTACTCTGCAGTCTCCAAAAGAACTAAGGACATATCCAGAGCCGAAAACTGATACTGGAGCCCAAAGAGAAAAGCAATGTTTCTTACAATAGACTGTTTCCTGCTAGCACAGGAGCACCAGCAGCTCCATCAGGAGCATTTTCTCTGCTTGGCACAGATGCCAGCCGTGGGACGCAGTCGCTGGCCCTATCTTTAGATGCAAGAGGCCTTGGGCACAAGAAAGCATCCTCTGTGACTGCTCCGGGGGTCCTGGGAGCTGAACTGTCCCCAGCCTAGAGGACAGCATCTGGGCTTGGGGTGACTGAGGCCGCTCCAATTAGGTTGCTGTCCATCTGGGGACAGGACTCTGAATGCCTCCCCTGGCGAAGGAGTTGTCAAGACTCCAGCAGGTTGTCTCAACACCGCCGAGCCCATTGAGGGCCTGGGTGAGGCTGGGCATGCTTAGCACAGAAAGTTCTAACAGCACAGGCTCCTTCTGTATTGGCTCTTTCCCAGAAAGCACAAAATTCCAGCTAAGAATGTCAAAGGCACTACAGATATTTTCCTAAGACTCATTTAGAACCTGCACGCCAGTGTTAATTATAGCGTCGCTTCTTTTTAACCCATGTTACAGAGCGTGCATTTCATTTCCTTCAGAACCTCCAGATTATATTTAGCAAGTGGAGAGCACCCAGGAACAGCACATGGATTAATGGCTGGTGAGACTTTCAAGAAGCCTCTCGTCACTTTTTCTGGAATCATAAGTGACAGTGCTCATTAGACTCGGGTCAAGGGCAAACTAAGGAGCCTTTCTCCACTTGGAGGAAAAAAAAATGTGTCTTTTGACTAATAAAATGTTACTTTTCACAAAAGGGTCTGTAAAAGCTATCAGCAATTGTGCTGGTTTAAGAAGTAATTTAAGCAAATGCTATGGACTAAATGAACAAGAATTACTAATTAAAAAATAAGCACACACTTACCATGAGAATAAAAAAGTAGAAAACCCACATCCATCCCAGATTGTCCTGGATCAATGATACTAGATACTAAAAGGGAGAAAAAGAAATTACAATATAATCCTTTATAAATTAATAAAATGAAGGAGCTGAAATCAGACTAAATGTGGCTATTCCCAAATGAGAAGGGAGCTGGGATTGTAACACGTTGGGGGAATCATGAAGCTCCCCAAACCCCTGGTCCTATTGAATTATTATTAAAGGCATCCCTGGCCCTCCCTGGTGGCTCAGCAGGTTAAAGCACAGCACTAAGAAGCTAAAGCCACTTCAGCATGAGTTTGATCCCTGCCCCGGAGGTGACCCACAGGGCGCAGCAGACCTCTCCTGACTGGCCTGCTGCTCCCCTCAGCAGTGTGCTTCATCCATCTGCCTGTTCTGATCCCCCCTCTGTCTCTGGTGAGTCCTCTCACTGCCCCTGCACCTCTGGCCTGTACCCCAACTCTGTATGCATAAATAAATAAATCTTTAAAAAAATTCTTAAAAAAAAAAGGCATCCTTGTGTAAGCAAACAGGATCCAAGCACAAATACTGTAAGAGAGAAGACATAAATTCAGGAAATCTATTTTTATTCATTTTGCTATGAAGAGAGGAAGACGAACCTCCTCAAGCCATTTCTGTGTAATCATTCTTCTCCCAGTGAAAGTGCTATAATTGAGACTTACAAAAATAGTTTGTCTTTTAAGTGTGCGGTTCAATTTTCATTTCTACTTGCACGTAAGATTACTTAACTAACAATCTACAGCATATTATTCTTTTACTTTACTTTCAATTACTGAAAAGGATCTAATAGCATTTAACTCAATTTTTGTTTTATTATAGTAACCCATAATAAACCTAAAATTCAGCAATTTAAACATTTTTAAGTGTATGTCTCAGTGTCATTCACAATGTAGCAGAACTATCTCCACTATTTCCAAGACTCTTTAACACCCCAAACAGAAATTCTGTGCCCATTAAGCAATAACTCCCCATTATCTCTTCTCTCAGCCCTGGAAACTGCTACTAGACTTCTATCTCTAGATATTTCAGACTCAGTGAAATCATGAGAGTTATCCTTTTATGTCTGGCTTATTTCACTCAGCATATGTTGTACTATGTAGCAGAACTCCACTCCTGTTCGTGGCTGACTAATATTCCACTGTGTGGCATTACCAGTTTATCCATTTATCTGCTGATAAATACTGGAGTTGCTCCCACCTTTTGATTACTATGAGCAATACTGGCATGAACATTGGGATAAAGATATAGGAGCCACGTTTTTAATACTTCGGGGGTATCTCCTGAGGAGCAGAACTGCTATAGCCTGAGGAACCACCGCATGTTCTCCATAGCTGCACCACTTTACATTCCCCCCAACAAGGTGTATAAGAGCTCCCATTTCTCCACATCCTCACTAGCACTTTTCCTTCTTAAAAAAAAAAAAAAAAAAAGCCCCCTGAGTAGGTATGAATTGGAGCCTCACTGTAGCTTAGCTTGCATTTTTGCTACTCACTAAAGATGTTCAGAATCTTTTCATGTGCTTAACGGTCATTTGTGTATTTGCATAAAGATCTGTCCTACTGGCCCTTCCTTGTGGCGCAGCGGGTTAAAGCACAGCACAAAGAAGCTAAAGCCACTTCCGCATGAGTTCGATTCCCGCCTGCCTCGGAGGTGACCACATGGCGCAGCAGACTTCTCCTGACCCGTCCGCTCCCCTCAGCAGTGTACTTTGTCAGTCAGCCTATTCTGCTCCCCACTCTGTCTCTGGTGAATCCTCTCACTGCCCCTGCAACTCTGGCCTATACCCCAGTTCTGTATGCACAAATAAATAAATCTTTAAAAAGAAAAAAAAGATCTGTCCCTACTTTTTTCCCTAAGTGTTTATCATTTTAGTTCTTAAAATTGGGTATTTGATACATTATGCTAATTTTTGTACATGGATATGTGTTGTGTGGTCCTTACACGTATTTGTAGACCTTCTCCTGCATTCGTATACCTAGTTTTCCCAGCACCATTTGGTGAAGAAACCATACTTCTCCCTCATTGGGTAGTCTTTTTAAAAAAGATTTATTTTATTTATTTACGCACACATCAACTGGGGTGTAGGCAGAGATGTGGGGGGATGAGAGGATCTGTCGCCAAAGACAGAGTGGGGAGCAGAACAGACAGATTTACTGAAATCCATTGCTGAGGGGAGCAGTGGGTGAGAGAGGTCTGTTGTGGGCCAGCTCCCTGGCTGGGGTTCGAGCAGTGCTGCAGTGGCTGCAAATCACTTCATAGTGTGCGCTCGAACCCACCAGGGAGGGCATCATCTAACCATTTCACATCAGTAAAATCATATACATATGTGGTGTTTTGTGACTGCCTTCTTTTACTTAGTATAACGTTCGTGAAGCTCCTCCATGTATCAACCCTTCACCCCCTCTCACTGCCGAAGATATCCTTTTGTGTGACACCCAACAGCAGGTTAAGTTTAAAGATAAAGAATTTATACAACTCAACAATAACAATAAAAAAATCAACCCAATCAAAAAATGGGTGAAAGGCCTGAACAGATACTTCAACAAAGACACACACGGCCTCCAGGCACATGAATAAAACACATCACTCACTGCAAGACAGACACAAGTCAAAACGACGTTGAGAATATCACCTCATATCTAGAGAACAATCCCTACCACAAAGGTGTTGGCAAAGGCAGGAGAAAAAAGAACTCTGATCCATTGCTGGTGGAAATGGAAACTGGGTCGGCCCCCACTGAAAATGGCAGAGGGAACCCCAAACAAACAACCCAGCAACGCCACGCCAGGCACTCATCAGGTGTGAAACGCTCAGCTGAGGGGTGAGTGCTCCGCTCGCAGCAGCGCTCATACTGGCCGGGACGCAGAGAAGACTGCATGCCCATGGACGCGTGACGGAGCTAAGAAGTTGTGGTGGGGTTGGCGGATCAGATAAAAGCTTGCCTTCTGCACCACCACGGACAGAACTTGAGGTGATTGTGATGAATCAAGTAACTCAGAAACTGAATGATTCACAGATGGTTTCACTCAGATGTGAAACATAAAGAAACGAGACAAACGAAAAACAAAACAAAAATAACTGTTAGGCGCTGAGCAGCAGGAGGTCACTAAAGGAGAAGGGGGATTCACTGGATTTTGGCAGCCGAGGTGACAGTGTGAAGGTTAGGACTTCGGTGGTGGATGCACGAAGCAGGGACACCTGTCGAGGTACAAAGCTGTACCCCCAGATATGAAGTTTGGTAGACCAGTGGTAGATCAAATTAAAAAGTTAATTACAGGGCCCTCCCTGGTGGTGCAGCGGGTTAAAGCACAGCACTAAGAAGCTAAAGTCACTTCAGCACGAGTTCCATCCCGGCCCCAGAGGTGACCCACAGGCCGCAGCAGACCTCTCCTGACTGGCCCGCTGCTCCCCTCAGCAGTGTGCTTCATCCATCTGCCTGTTCTGATCCCCCCTCTGTCTCTGGTGAGTCCTCTCACCACCCCTGCACCTCTGGCCTGTACCCCAGTTCTGTATGCACAAATAAATCTTTAAAAAAAAAAAGTTAATTACAAAAAATGCTCCCGTGGATGACGAGACCACATTCTGCCGAGACTCATCAGCTGATGGACATGTGGGCTGTTTTGGCTGCTTAGCTGCTATGAATAATCCACCGAGACCATCTGCAAGCAAGTTTTCATGGGAGCATTTGCTCTCATTTCTCGGTGGATACTGGGACCGTCTCCCCAGTCCTTACGATGGGTCGCAAGCAGCACGCACAGCGGATGCAGGTAAGGAAATGGCTCAGGTCTAAGAGAAGCAGGCTGGAGCGGGGGGAGAGAAACCCACCCACCCACGGGGCACGCTGGGACAAGTCTCTATGGAGGGAAAAACATTTCCCCCCTTGGGAATCCAGGAGAGGTGGGGAACAAAGTCACAGAGTGAAGTAGGGAAACCAGGAGGAGGTTGACGGGGCTTTCTGTATTAAGGCTCAGTTTGTGGTTTCACCTCGCAGCCACTGGGAAATCCTTCAAAAGCTAACGGAGGAGAAGAGTGAGCCACGCTGACAATGAGTTACTGCTGCTCCTGCATCCTTGCCATGATGGCGAGGGTGAAGCTCTGCTGTGCTGTGCTCAGCTCAGGGCTGAACCCCGGCAGGAGAGACGTGACTCGGCGAGTCTGTGGGAAGCTGCGCCTTCTGGGCCCAAATGAACATCCCAGACGACTCTGACAAGACAGTGCAAACTGCCTCTGAGATCATCATGGGAAGCAGAGAAAGTGACTGAGAGCAGATGAGGAACCCAGGCAACATCCGGGGGACCTGCCTGTGCACCTGCGCGTGTTCGACCAGGGGAGAGGACACAGGACTTGCGTGCAGGCGGGCTAAGGAGAAGCATGTGCCTCCTAGCCTCCCTGGAGCACCAAGTTCAGGCTGGCAAGGGGGTGGGACAGGAACAGCAGCCCCATCTCACAGGTCAGCCTAGCTCCAGATAGCAACAACCTGGAGGCAGAAGTGAGAAGAAACTCAAAAGGGCAGAGGGTACCCACTGTGAGGTCACATCAGGTGTGGCCCTGGCCACAGAAGAGCGAGAGCGCCCCCTACTGCAGCCTGCGCACAGCGGCACCTTCGGCAGCTACCACCAGGCCCTGCCCTCCCCTGGCCCACGGGCCCACCCCTGGCCCACCACACTCACCTGGCCCACTGCTGCACCGATGCTCCCAGTTCCATCAACAATTCCTGTGACGGTCGCCAAGGCCTCGCTGCTGCCTTGGACCAGCTCCTGGCGGCCCAGGTCCGCGGAAATAGCAGAGCTGATCATGTTAGAAGGTCCACCAATAAAAAATCCTGGCCATAAGAAACAGCAGGTTCTTAATAAGACACCATCACGATACCAGCAGGAACCCATCGCTAAGACAAACTCACATCAATATTTTTAGCGGCGTGTTGGAAAGGAAAAGGAAAAATGAACCCATAAATGGGGAAATTCTGCCAAAGGGCATTAACTTTAAGCCAGCAGGCACTCACTTTTCTTAAGTCTCTTGAGTGACGAGGGCCTAATTTCTTTGCTAGAAAGCACAGACGTAGACAACAGAGTGAGCAGGCAGGTAACCCTACGGGACACACATTCTGTGACAGCAAGCCACATCTGCTCGCCACCTTCTGTGACAGGGACACCGCCTCAGGTGAGAGTCTAAGTGAACCAACCTATGGGGGGCAGCGAGCAAGGAGAAAAGGGGTGCCGGTGGTCGTAGCTGCTGGGGCCCTCAGAGAGGCCTTGGGGAGCGGTAGAGCTGGCCACTGGAACCCAATTCCCGGGATCCCATCAGTTCCACGGGCCTCACGCCACACCAGCGGCTCTCCCCAGCCTGAGAATGATCTGAAGTTTAAAAATAAATCACATCCTATGACATGGACCCTAACTGCACTCGACTGTTCAATCGGTGCTCAAGAAATACTGGCCAATTCATTCAAGGGAACATGAGCTCCACTGAGCTTTCTGCAAGCCAGTGAATGGGTTTCCCTGTGCAGCTTCCCAGGTCACCTGCACAAGTGCCGCAAGAAACCGGGCAGCGAGCAAAAAGTCTAGGCAATCTGTTGAAAGGGCCACTGGGCTGGGGAGGTCACCAAGTAGCAGAGAAATGCGGTCTGCAGGGACAGCTCTCCGCGGAGGCTGCAGCGTTAGTCAGAGTGAGGAGAGAACAGTCCCCTGCTCACTGGCAGCAGAGGAACAGCAGCGAGAGCGAGCCAGGCCCGTACCTGTGACCGCCATCAGCAGCGCGTTAATGGACTTATCGTTGGGAGAACCTGGGAGGAGACAGAGGGGCAGGCTGATGTTAAAAGCACACGGAACAGCACCGACATCCCGACGTCTGTGACCTCCCAGCTCGTTCCGGAGATGACCAAGGGACTCTCTCGCGCCCTCCCACCCTTTATTCGTGACGTCTGCTCTCGCCGGCGCGCAACCTAGTGAGACTTTTAAAAGCTTAAGAAAACCCCACTCCCGTGTGCACAGCGTCTGAGAGACGCAGGCCAAGCCTCCTAATGGCCACCTTTCGTCTTTTGAAACCTTTTCCCTTTTATTGTTTTATGGGCTCTAATGTTGTCCCTCTGGAGCCTACCCACAAACAAAGCACATACAAGCTGTTAAACAAATCCACAAAGCAGCAGAGATGCCAGTTTCCTCCCCAATCCAAATAAAACCGGTGATGGCCATCGTAGCAGACACTTACAGGGCAGCACAAAGGTCCCGTGTCGCGCCTCTGTGGCTGGTCCCGAGTCCCCCCCGGGCTGGCCGTGAGCCGGGACCCCCGGCCTCAGAGACAGGGACAATTTAACCGCAAAGGAGTACTCACGACTATATCCCACGAGGGACCCCACGGCCAGCAGCAGACTCAGCGCTAACACCGGGGCTCTCTTCTGCAACAGGTCAGAGACGAAGCCCTGCAGGGTCCCACCTGAAACACAGAGCACGTCGGAACCCGCTCGCCCCGGGCCTCCCTCCTGGCTGTCAGACCTAACAAAGAGGGTCAACTGCTAAAGTCCCTTCTGGGTTCCTGCTAAGAAGACCATGTGACTAACATTAGCCACGCTACCGCTGATGGCAGCAGGACAACAAATTCGGAAAAATCGCCAAACCCATCTACTGGAGAATATTTTTCCAGCTTTTTATTTTAAAAAATGATTCACTGATGATCACACCTCAAAGATGACTAGCAGCAGCTGATGAATACTGAGGAAAATAAAATGCACCCATTATGGCTCAGCTGGCGATAGCTAGTAAGTCAGGATGGAGGAAAAGAGGTGGAAAGGCCCGTCTCAGCAACATGGCTGCCTGGGGATAGGGCCCCACCTCGAGATCTGCGGGTGCAGGTACCTGGTCAACCCTTGTCAGTAGGACTCAGATCAGCGGGATGGTCCAGCCTAAGGCTGGCACTGGCTCGAAGGATAAGGGCAGACAAGTTCAACTACAGGAACAAGACATCCCCCGGGGGTATGGGATGCTCAGGGTATGCCTCTTACCACAGTGCTTGATGTAAACATGACTGAAAGGATACCAAAGTTTTGCCCACAGCCACAGAAGCAATACCCACTGGCATACTCTGTTCATCAGTCTTACTTAAAAGTCTCTTTCTTCCCTGTTTCTATTTTCAGCTGCAGCAAAAAGTCACTGCTAAAATCTGCTGTGTACAATGAAGCAATTGCAAAACACTCACAAGAACTAAGAACTAATCCCTGCCACCACTCGTACCTCGGAGATCTGGGGAGCTGTACATTGCACCAACACGGCCCCTTGGGGCTGGGGCAGCGAGGTGGGTGAAATGAACACGCTCAAGTTCTCAACTGGATGTCTGACATGTCATTAGCCTTAGCGCGGCCATCCCTGGACATGTACAAAAGGCTACAACTGAAGAGTTCACAGAGGGAAATAGCCCTGTGGTGCCCAAGATGAGAGAACTGACCCACCCACAGAGGGCTGAGAAGAAAGAGGCCCATAAATCACAGCGCCGCGTAGGCTGGCTCTTCCTTCCAGGGGCTTTTTTTTTGTTTTTTCAGTTTGGCTATTTAAAGGCAAAGCGTAAAGGAAAATAAGTAATAAAGCTTTAGCTGATGTCAGATTTTATCCCCCAGTAAAAGATAACTAGCAACTAACTCTTCACTGTAAAAACAGACACCCCGCCGGCATTACCTATAATTCCTCCAACGTCGTACCAAATGGACAGCTTGTCTGCCTCAGCCTCCTTCCATCCAAAGTTGTTACTCAGATAAAAGGGCAACCAGAAGAAAAAGGAGTAATTCACCAACTTCAGGCACGCATACGCCAGAGAATACTACAAGAAAAAACAATCCACTAAGCATGACCATAGTTATGTAACTAAGCGAAGCAAGGCAGAGGTGTCGGGGATGAACAGCACTTGATTTTCAGACTGAACATCTCTGCACTTTACCCTGTCACCTTACCGAGCCCCCCTACCATCTGCTTCCAGAAAGGCATGGACAACAGGCTTTTGGGATAAAAGAACAGACACCACAACGGTCTCTTAATTGTCCAGCTTCTTCTCCTTTCGGCTCTCTGGTAGAAGCAAACCAGTGTTTTAAACATCTAGGGCAGGGTACAGACTTGTATTTCTTTGTCTAGACAAGACAGAGGTGTTCGCGCCACTAACAGGCATTTGCCGCTGGTGGGAAAGAGCCGTGAGCAGGCGGCAGCCGCTCCTCCAGCTCGCCCTCCTGCGAGTTCATATCCACACGGAGAGTGACATGACTCAGGTTTCAGGGCCTGAGAAAAACATCAGCACTAAAACGACTTTCACAGGACGGCTCCCCAAAGTCTTACATTCCCCCATCCAGTGGAAAAGAAAGGACACTCTTAGGGGGTTTTCTGGGGAGTTAGAAATGAAGAAAGAATCATCACAGGCCGTGGGTTCTACTTGGAGCAATGAAAGTTGCAGCTGCCTTAAGGTGGCCATGGGGCCAAGAGTCCTATATTCAACACAGGATTCCCAGGAAATCCCGACACTGCATCAAAGGAAATGGGGGAGGACCACAGACTGACTTCAAAGGGCGTCTGGCTAGTATATACTCTCCTCTGGAGCTGCCAGCTACTCCTGAGGTATCGCTGCTTTAGAGCAACTTCCCTGGCAGGCTGCAGCTGCCCCCTGGAGAGCCGAATCCCAATCAGGAGTGTCCAGACAGCCCACAAGACAAAGGACTTCAGTTAACTAGATTTCCTTTACATCCCTGCCTGTGTCAGGGGACAATAGCTTGTGAAATACAAAGAAGCAAGAGTTCCATATTTGGTCTCAACAAATGTAAGTTTTGTCCCAGGAATTAAACAATTACCAGAACACTTTAATGAATAGCTTTTAAAAAATGCTAACATTAGCATAAGAAAAGGCCTAAAAAAAGTAGCATTTCCATGGTATTATCCATCATGTTTTGGTTAAGGAGCTATAGGAACTTAGACATTTAACTACCTGCAAAAGTCAGTTCTCAGTGTGGGGACATCGGTGGAAGGGAATTGGCAAGTAAGAAGTGATGTCCCACAGAATCTGGCAGGAGAGAGTTCCATCCATAAAGCACCACACAAAAACCAAATCAACACAACAGGTGCTGTGCACAGCACCGCCAGTTACCACCCCTAAGGAGGCAGGAAGCCGGTAGCCGGTAGCCATTAGTCCGCGGCAGAGCTGAGACACGGGACAGGCTGAGTGACTTAACCCAGAGCCCACAGAGGGTCAGCGGGTGATCTAGAAACATGACCTAGGCCTCTTCACACCCATTCCCGTGCCAGGGCACCCGGACATCAAGACTGAAAATCTGTGGCAGGACAGACTTAGTGCAGATGCTAGAAAGTTCTCCTGACTGTAAAGGTTGCATTACCAACAAATGAGGTATCGCTGCTTTAGAGCAACTTCCCTGGCGGTGGAGTCTCATTCCACTGTGCACCCTTTAGTAAAAGGACAATTTTTCTTCTTGATCAGAGCACAGGCAAATGAAACACACTTAATGAACCACTCAAAATCCTTTTTGGTGGGAGTGTATATATACATATATATGTGAGTGGTGTGGTGTGTGTATGTGTGTGTGTCTACAAAATGTCAACAGGCTTAATGCACGGGTTAAAGCACAGCACTATGAAGCTATCTGCAGCCACTGCAGCATGAGTTCGATCCCCGGCCAGGGAGCTGACCCGCATGGCGCAGCAGACCTCTCCTGTCCTGCCTGCTATTCCCCTCAGCAGTGTATTTCGGTCAATCCACCTGTTCTGCTCCCCACTCTGTCTCATGTGAATCCTCTCATCCCCCACACCTCTGGCCTGTACCCCAGTTCTTGTATGAACAAATAAATACATCTTTTTAAAAAATGACAACAGGCTAAAACCTGGACACATAAAACAATCGATTTTGCTTCGTTACTTGAATGTTAGGTCAGGGCTGGCAAACCAGAGTGCGTGCCAAAGTCCAGCCATGCCTGTTGCGCCTTTCTATCCACCCGTTCTTCTGCTCTAGAAAGGGTAGTGAGGCTGCACTGTCTCCCCAGAGCTGAAAGCATCTGGTATCTGGCACTACCCGGAGGGGCTCTTCCCACCCCTTTCAAGGCCCCAGTAGAGAAACACGTGGAAGGGCGCCATAGGCTACTCCTCGACCAGATTCCCGACATACGGCAGCAGAGAGGCTACGGACGTGAAGATGCTTCACGCCGCGGAGCGCTGCGAGGTCTCCCTGGCTGTGGCAGGGAGCCCAGACCCTCCTCACCGGTATGACGCCAGGGAGGCAACAGGCTTGATGGAAGCTGATGGCCTTGACTTGAGGGATGGCACTGCCTTCTTGGATGGAATAATTAGGCTCATAGTCATCTTCATTTTCATCACCACTGATTAAAGGCCGGTGAGAGTCTTCTTCAAAAGGTTCTTCTGCCTCAAGACCTGGAAGGCCTAGAACGACAACCACCTTTGTTTACAGGGCGGTGGGCACGGAGCATCGAACCGCACACCTCTCACTACCTGGCAGTGATGCTATCTTTCTTTCCATGTTACAGAAGCAACCAAGGATCAGAGACCAAGGGACACGAAAGTCAGCTCAGGTCACACAGTCAATGAGCCACAAAACAAGCCTCTAATATAATTTAACTTGGCTTCCAAGCAATGCTTTTTTAACTCCATGACAGGATTTCTCTTATATACAGAAAAACGTTAAATCCATACTGTTAAAACTACATGTCTGCTTAATACTACTCAAAACACAGAACAGTAATTAGCTTCTGTGTTTTCCCTGGTACGTTACTCTGCATTTAACCATAAGTAAGTATCACACTCAATTACATTTATGAAGAGAAAGAAATCTGTCTCATGAAGGCAAATGAGAAATACATCCAGGCTAATTTCCAGCCAGGGTCTCAATTATAAATCTCTTTTGCAAACGATGAGCTGTCCCTGAATCTCTGCAAGGTGAGCCTTGCTCCCTCAAGCGTGAGCGGTGGGGCCAGACACGGCCACTAGCAGCAAAGCAGCTCCTGTAATTCACTGAAAGGAGCTCATAGTTCTAGGATAAAAGAGACAGACTTCTGGCCCCAGATTGCTCCTCGAGCATCTCCTAAGACACTGTGTACAAAACAGCTTCTCCTCACCAATTTCTTCTGGCGACACCAGGAGTCCAAAGAAGATGACAATCCCACCGGCAAACTGCACAGCGGCCGTGACCAGAAAGGCGTACTGGAGGAGAGAGGGGAGGGTGGGTTCTTACACCACGGGGGAGCCACTCGGGGCCCCGCTGAGGGAGCCACCTCAGAGAGGCCGTGAGCGCTCAGCAGGGAGCCTGCGTCAGGCACAGAGCTCAGTGTTTGCTAGTGTTTTCCCACAAGTTCTTCCTGATGGTTCCGTGAGGTTGAAAAAGCGACTAAGGCCCCAGACACGAAGCGGGCACGACTGTGCTGGGAATCAGGACTTGCTCCCAAATCCTCCCTGTTGCACCACACAGGCTGCCCCGGGAGGCAGAATGGGCCCTGGAAGCTTCTCCATGCAGCTGAGGGGTTACATAACACAGAGGATAAAGGCAGCAGCCGAGGAAAGGAAGGCCCCGTGCTCACCAGAAACACACAGGGATTTGGAGCGGGGAGGGCTACCGAGGGCACAGCAGCCAGCCAATGCTTCAACAAAGAGCTAAACATCAGAGCCACGGGCCCTTTCCTGGCCCAAGCACAGCAAAGCCACGGGGTAAGGAGGAGCCAGGGGTCATCCTCGGGGTCAAAGCAGAGGGCTTCTGCTGGGGACAGTCGGCACGAGCACTGATTTGGAAAGGTGACGGTGCCACTAAAGACTCTGGTACAGGGGCCTCCCTGGAGGCGCAGGGCGTAAGCCTCAGTGTTATCAAGCTATCACCAGTCACTGCTGTCTGAGTTCGATCCCCGGCCAGGGAGGTGACCCACATGGCGCGGCAGACCTCTCCTGACCCGCCCGCTGCTCCCCTCAGCAGTGTGCTTCGTCAGTTGGCCTGTTCTGCTCCCCTCCCCCCCCCACCCCCGGTCTCTGGTGAATTCTCTCACCCCCCACACCTCTGGCTACACACCAGTTCTTATATGCATAAATTAAATAAATAAATTTAAAAAAATAAACCTTTAAAAAAAAACAAAACTGATAAGCCTGAATGCACTATTGAACTTTATTTAATAAAGGCCCCTGATCTGGAGAGACAGTCTTCAATTGTGAACTCACCAGAGTCCAAAAGTCAGATCGGGCAGCGGCACAAAGGATGAACCGCAACTCCTACCTAACGGTCAGTACAACCCAGGTGCGGGCGAAGCAGCCCGGAGGGCGACTCCGGACAGCTCCAGCCCCATTCACTGGAACTAGACAACAATTCTTAAGACCAAACACTGATGAGCTGCTCAAAAGTTTATCTCTTTCCTAAAAGAGCAACTTACTTTTTACTATTTAGTCTCCGAACAGGCAGTTCCTGCCCTCATGCGACAAAAGGGAGACACAGAACCCTCCCACCTTCGCAGCCCCCCACCCACTCGGTCCCCCACATACACCATGGCCGCAGGTATTTACTTTGCAGAGACTGAGAAACACAGACACCAACACGGAACTGTCTACTCCTTCATCCTTCCCTCACACAAACGGCATTGCTCGGCTCTGCTTGGCTCGCGTCACAGAAGCGCCACCAAAGCTGCTGACTGTCACCCTGCAGGACGCGTCCCCGTGCTCCTGCACAGCCACGAGGTTCCCACTGACAGGGAGCCGCAGCTGAAGCCGCTCCCGATAAGCTGGCATTTGCTGTAGCGCGCAGTGCTGAGGGATTAGCCACAGGCCCAGCGCCCTGCCCGTGGGCCTGTGCGCAGCCCTGCTCCCTCACGTCCTCATAAACACAACCTGCTGTCAGACCAGCACGCAACGATGCAGCGTAGCCTCGCTCCCCCTTTCTTCCTTTGGGAACCGTGCAGTTTCCGGCTGCGTCACTCCACAGAACGCCTAAGCTCCACGAGGGCTGACTTCACCCTCTGCCCTATTCTCCACCACCTGCACCACTGACAGGAACCTAGCACGTGTTCGCTGGATGAATGGCTAAGTTATGAGGAAGAGCCTTCTGCTGGTTCTAAGCCATTTTCGTTTCCTTTTCAGGAACTACACATGCTAATCCTTTACCTTTCCATGTTTTACTGGTCTTTTCTCTTTATTTATCAGTGTGGGCACTCTTTATATATGAGGGAGGTTAGATTAGCTCTTTACCTATAACATGAGTGGCAAATTGTTTTCCCCAAGCTTGAATTTGTCCAGTTATGCCACCTGTAAACCAACCTTGCCCCAACCAGATACAGCTTTAGGTAGTTTTAAATAGCTTATTCACTTATATACTTAAGAAAAAGCTAGAGAGAAATACGTACCTCATAACCGTACTGCAGAACAGAGGAGGCGAGGCATGCCCCCAGGATGTTGCCCACGGACGCGCAGGCGCTCCACAGGCCAAACACCACGCCTCGCCTAGGGCGGGGACAGGGAGAGGGGGCGCCAGGTCAGGAGGGCGCCCGCGCAGGCCCGCACCCCGAACAGGGAGGGCCACACGACAACGAGCCCACATTCTATTCTGAGATTTTAAGTATACCCACATGTCGCTGCGATTTTATTATTGTAAAGTTCAATTTGGGGCCCATCAACTGTTCAGAGAATTAAAAGAAGATGAAGTCTCACTGTGGGAGAAAGTACGTGGATGTGAGTTCTCCGACAGGGGACGTGTATCTGGAATGGAAAGCACTCTTACAACTCGACTACACGACAGTAGCTAAGGCAAGGAAAAAGTTAAAGGCAGGATCTTCTTGGGGGAAAAAAAAGATTGTGAAAAGGGGCAAAAGATGTTAATGTCCTTCATCAAGACAAAATGCCTGATGCCGGTAAGCACGTGAAAAGATGCTCGACATCATCAGACAGGAGCGTGCGACGAGGCAGCCTGTGCACCCCAGAAGAGCAAACGTCACACGGGACCGGGCCTCGCCAGCGTGGCAGGGGTGCTCTGCAGCAGAGCCCAACACTGCCAGCGGGAACGGTACGGCCTGACCCGCTTGGAAGCGACTGCCCGTTCCCTTGGAAGATAAACCAACACGCCCCCAATGACCAGACACTGCCCGGTGTAACAGAAGGGAAACGAAAGCATGTGGCCGCGTAAGGGTCTGTGCTCCAGGGCTCACTGTCGCTCATCTGCGACAAACTGACAACCGCCCAAACCTTAATCAAGAGGTGGACAGATACCGGTGACATCATGGACGATGACTCAGTCATAAGAATAAGCACACGCGACACTGAATGGGTCGCCACGATGCTGAATGAAAGCTGAGGGCGGTCTCGACCGTATGATTCCGCTTATATAAAATTTTAGAAAATTCAAATTAATCTCAAGTGACAGGAGATCGGCAGTTGCCTGGAAACGGCAGTGGGAGGGTGTGTGTGGGGGGGGAGGATTCACCAGGAAGCGGAGGGAATTTTGGGGGGAGCTCGATCTGCCACTCTGGCTTGTGATGATGGTTCTGTGCCTGCCAACGCACATCGAACTGCATGTTGTAAAGATGTGCAGCTTTTCACACATCCTAATAAAGCTGATAAAAACGAACAGGTAGACGAAGAGTCTGATGGAGAGGACTATTCCAATAGCCCTGAGAAAAAGTGAGCAGCTCTGAACAAAGACAATGCCAGTAAAGCCGATGAAAGGAAAAGGGGTTCAGGGACCTCCCTGGTGTTCTAAGAGCTCAGCCTCAGCTCTGTCACTACTACGACCTGAGTCCGATCCCCAGCCGGGGAGCTGACCCACATGCGCAGACCTCTCCTGCCTCGCCCACTGCTCCCCTCAGCAGTGTATTTCAGTGGAGCCACCTGTTCTGCTCCCCACTCTGTCTCTGGTGAATCCTCTCACCTCCCCACACCTCTGGCCTGACCCCAGTTCTGTATGCATAAATAAATACATCTCTAAAACAAAAGTCTCAGAAAAGAGAATGAATGCAAAACCCAACGTCACTGTTGATAGGCTCTGAAGTCTCGCCCTGAGCTATTCTGACTTTCTAAAATAGAGGGGAGGAATGAGCAGTGTCAAAGGGACTAGTCCATCGACTGTAAGTCGGAACACCCCGATGTCAACGCCCTGAAATACCGACATTAAAGAGGAAGAAGTGGCATACCCAGCTTTCCCAAACCAGTTGCCCATAACAGCAACCACACACGGCCACCCGGTGGACTGCAGCAGGCCATTCACAATCCACAGGCAGCAGTACAGCCCCTTGTTGTAGAAACGTAGCCATTCTGTTAGCGTGCCAAAGACAAACACCTCGGAGAAGAAGGGAAAAAAAGGACATGTAACATCCACACGGACACTTGGGGGAGACAACTGTCGACAACTTGGGCCTCTGTGTGAACTCTCCCACGCCCAGGGCCTCAGAGATGCCTGGTGGCTCCCCAGGGGATCCCCCCAAAGCAGCTCAAGGGAGACAGGCTCCGAACACCACTGACCGCGGGGGGCAAAGTTGTCCACCCAGCCTCCCTCCACTCACATCTTCAACCCTGCAGGGCAACCCTCTCCCTCGGGGCTGTGTTAGAGGGCTGGTGCTGGGCGGCACGGGCCTCCTGCCATGGCTGCTGAGTCGGTCGGCATAACAGTAATTTAGCAGTGTCCACCACAACAATGCTTATGTCCAAGTGTTTTGTTCAAGTGAACATCTTGTTTAGAGTTAAAGCCTCTTTAGGGGATACTGGCAGGGGTTAAAAAATGGCATGTATAGGGCCCTCCCTGCTGGCACAACAGGTTAAAGCACCGCATTATGACACTGTCCGAAGCCACTGCAGCGCAAGTTGGATTCCCGGCCAGGGAGCTGACCCACATGGCGCGGCAGACCTCTCCCGACCCGCCCGCTGCGCCCCTCAGCCTGTTCTGCTCCCCGCTCTGTCTCTGGTGAATCCTCTCACCCACCATACCTCTGGCCTATACCCCAGTTCTGTAAGCATAAACAAATAAATCTTTTTTAAAAAATAGCATATATATAATAAATACTGGATGATTCCAGTTACACAACATTTTGGAACAAGCAAAACAGAAAAACGGCTGGTGGTTGTCAGAGGTTGGGGGAGAGCGAGGAGAAGGGTCTCACAAACACATCACTGGTCAAAACTCAAAACTCAAAAAGGCATGTGAAGGATATACTTCAGTTTTGAAAAAAAAATATGAAAGAAAGCAAAAATGGACATAGGTTTGAAAATAGTAGGCGTATGTGTGGTGAGCAGCCTGTGGACAAACAAATCTCTAAAATCTCAAAGAGCAGGTTTTTCCCGACCGACAAGTGGCAGGCATTGGAAACAATAAAACACAGCCTAGCTAAACCTTCGGCTTTCAATCCACCCAAGCTCCTGGCAGGAAGCAAATAAAGGTCAATCAACGCTGACAGTCGACAGAGCACTTAAGGCCCTGGCACTGCTCCAGAGCTTCAGTTACTCAGAGACCCCACGGCCCTCCAGGAGGCGAATCCAAATGCGGGAGAGAAGCACCGAGAAACCTTCAGCCAGGAAACCGCAGATGCAGGGACAGTCAGCAGCACTGACGCAGAATAAGCAGGCAAGCGGCAGGCCACGTGAGAGCCGTCAGAGCAGCAAGGGCTGAGAGGGGGTGGGGTCTTCCAGGAGCGGGAGACATGTCACCGGCCAGTGACTTCGGAGAGCGCCGCTCAAGGCGGGAAGAAGAGCAGGGCCACGGCGGAGAAGCAGAAAGGAGCAGGCGTGGTCGGGCCATGGAAAAGAGCAGAGTTGGCAAGAGCCACGCTGGCACAGAGTGACAGACCGGACCGGCGCCTGGGAGCAGGACTAGAGAAGACAGACCCCTGAGCTGCATGTGCCTTGGCGCCAAGTCGTGGAAGGCGCCTGATCTGAGCTTTAAACAGACCCGACAAGGCATTCGAGAGATTAGAAGAGCCAAGGTTAATTTTACTATTAATCTACATAAAAAGTAGGGGGATACCTAGATTCTACAACAGCGGACTCAAGGAAAACGGCAGGAGTGGTCACCCTAAGCGAGGCAGCAAGGATCCCGAGGACGCCTTTCCAACTTACCACCAAGGCCGAAGAGCACATGCCGAAAGACAGGACCCATCGCAAGTTAAGGCGATCCCCAACGATACCACTGATGAAAAGCCCCTGCAAGAAAGCGTGTTTTACACCTCTGCGTGACAACTCGGCCTGAACGCGTACTGCCAATGCCAACAGCGGCGCACAGAGTGGGCACCGAGGCCCCTGCCTGGGAGGCCACTCTGTCCGCGTCCAGGCCCGGCCGTCAGTGGTCTGCTCTCCGGCCACGTGCGCCTGAAGCGAGCTGTGTCGCTACGAGTCCTCAGAACAGGAGGCGCTGGGCGCGCGGGCTGCCTGCTGGGCCTGGCCCCGGGTTCACAACAGCTTGGGGGGCGGGGGCGGGGGTGTAGGGAGCAGAGGCAGTAGAGCTGAAGAGCTACTCTGTTCCTCCCCCACCAAGCAGGAGCCAAACCTGCGGTCACAGCACCGGCTGACTGACTCAGGTCTCTCCATAAGCACACCAAATCAGTGTTGCGATTGGAAACCTAAATTCAGACACATATCTCTAATAAACTGACTGTATCTGTCTCAAAAATTTAGAAGCCCTACGTCAGAATAAACGAACATACCAGAACGCAGACACCTACTCCAAGTCTGTCACTACCCACAGCTCCCGCTACGGCCAAGAGGGCGCCTGTGAGCACTGGGGCAGATTCTCCACCCACAGCTGCCGCTCACCTGCCTTATGCTATATGGGGCTGGGGGGCCTCTGAATAAGGTTTCAGATGTGGGGGAGTCAGTTTGTCCTGTGTGGCTCCAAATGCCTGGAAGTTCCAGAAGGAAACATAGCTCACTAGCTGACTTGTCATGGCTCTTATCTTTTACTTCACATCTACTGAGTCCTGCAGACAGGTACTGTCACCTCAGCTTCACAGAGGCAGACGCAGGCTCTCACAAACAGGTTGCATTCCTTTTTGAAACCAAGTTGAACGCAGCAGGTTGGTGGTGGCAGTGCTGGTCTTCCCAGGGGCCATACAGCTTCATAAATTACTCCATAAAAAGCTCAAAGAGAAGCACCCATGGGAGAGTGCCAGCCAAGCTGAATGACGACACCGCCCCACCCCCCGCCCCGGGATCGGGGCCAGATGATCTAAGATTGGTCCCAACCGTTCCTACAAACTTCCCCTTGCTGCATCCTAGCAGGCAAACATTCAGCGCTCTCCCCAGCATTTCACATCACCAGGACATTCACAATTAAGAGGTTTTCTGACATTTGGATCCATCTCAACAGGGGACATTTGGTGCTGGAGGGAAAGTCAGCCTGTCCCGCAGGGTACAGGCCCAGCACAGCTCCAGAGGCCTCTGCTCTGACTGGGCAGCCACCACAGACACTTCTCCAGCCAGGCCGACCCGAGCTGCCTAATCACAGAAGGCCAGAGAAGCCCTCGGACAGACCAGCCCTGCCGCTGCGGGGGCTGCAGCCCATCCCCTCCCACCGCTCTCCGACTCCTCACTGCCCTTCTCTACCTGCCTTTCCACCTCGCTTCCCCACCTCAAACCAGTCACCTCCTGTCTATCCTCACCTAATCCCCTCACATTTCGGCCAGCCTCACCATTTTAAACATCACCTGTACACGAAGGACTCTGAAATCCCACCCCCAGCCTGCACCCCAGACTCATATGACCAAGTGTCTACTCTGTCACCTGGACAGGCACGCGCATGTCAGGCGCCCAAGGGGGGCGCCCCACAGCCCTGGCACTCCCACCTGGAGTGGAGTCGTCCCTGGCACTGTCTCTCTCACAGCCGGGTCACAGGACACAACAGCATGGGTTCCACTTCCAAGACGGTGAGATCTACATTTGGGCCTCTACTACTCTTCCCCTGAATCCAAGCCACCAGCACCCTTCACCTCAAAACTGGGATCGCCTCCCTTGTCCCTGCTTCTGCCTCGGCCCTCCTGTTTAGCCCCCAGGAGCAGCAAGGGCACCTGTCCTAAGGGAGGGCAGATCCCAGCACTCCCATGCCATCAAGGTCAAAGCCAAAGTCCTACACCCAAGGCCCACCCCTTGGCCTCACTTCCTGCTACCCTGTTCCCATCAGGGTGACCTCACTGACCCTCTCAGGCATTCCCTTCTTAGTCCCCAGCTATCCTACGTCCCTTACACCCCTCACCCCCACTCAGGGCTATTTATTCCACTTGCCCTGTCTTATTTTTCTCTGTTGGCTTAAGCATATTCCATAATTTACTTACCTATAGCATAGTGTTACCATCTGTCTCCCTCAGCCCATAACCACCCCAAGAGATACGCTTTACAGAGGGGATATTTCTGGGTGACTCACTGATTCCCCTTGACTAGAAAGTACCTGGTACCTGCGAGGTGTTCAATGAGCAACTGCTGAGTGAGATGGACAGGTGGGGTGGGGTGGGGTGGGTGGAAAGGTCACAACTACAGCAATATCTCACTACTCAATCAGCAAATTCAAAATCCTCTACAATCTTCATAAAGGTTAGTCATTTCCTTTTATCTCTCTTTTCAAGTTAAAATCCTAGATTCCAGGGCCACCCTGGTAGCCGAGGGGGTCAGTCTCAGGGCTATCACAGCCCAGGAGCTGACCCACATGGCACAGCCTGCCTCCCTGCTGCTCCCCTCAGCAGTGTGTTTCAGCTGATCTGCCTGTTGTGCTCCCCACTCTATGTCTAGAATCCTCTCACACATGCATCCCCACCTCTGGCCTTCATCCCAGTTCTTCTACACAAAAATAAAATTCAAAACCAAAACCCCAGATCCCTAAAACTTACCACAGCGTAGGAGAAGAGGAAAATGGTATCCAGTGTCCCAAGAAAAAGCGTGGCCTCCTCTGCACTGGGGAACAGGCGGTTGCGGCTCCAGGTCTGCAGTGGACACAAGCACAAGTCAGCCCCTGGGGCTCCTGTTTCTCAGGCACCTTCTGGCCAGGCCCGCCCACCCTGCTGGAATCCCAAGAGGCAAAGAGAGCCATCGGCTGGTCACAGGAGACACACACCACACACAGGAGGGTCGCGAGGTCAGACACGACTCAGGTGTTCCAGACTGGCCTCTGCTTTTTCCCTTTAGCTTCTGGGTGAACAGCACAAAAGCCATAGCAGGTAGAGAACTGTGCACCCTGTGTGAACCAGACCAGCACCCCCAACTGTGCTCATGATCACGACAGCCGTTACCACCACCACTCACACAACACAACTTTTGTAAAATGTCCCCATCGCTTGGCTCTGCTAAAGACCGCCCCCGAGGAAGCTGAACAGGGCAGTAACGGCAGGACATCACACTCATTGCGCACTCTGTGGGTCGAGTCGCAGGCGCACACGGGGAACCCACCAGCATGTGCAGCCGCGGGCATCACCAGCGAGCAGAAACCAGTTTTCCTTGAAAGAATGACTGACAAGTGATAGTTATTCTGACTTAGGTATTTGGCAGCTATTGCCTCAAACAAGAATGACAGGAGCCTGTCACCGCAACATCCATTCGAAGCACAAGATAGACAAATGGCTCTTAATGTCAGGGTGTAAAAAGTTAATGGATACATTCTCAGGTTCCACATCGCAACTAACCTTTAAGAAATTGCCACTTGTCAAAATCTGGTGTGATAGCAAAGATGAATATCCATGATTAATGGAGAGGATACTTAAAATACTTCTGCCTTTCCCTTTATGTACCTGTGAAAAGCCAAATTCTCTTCCTATACTTCAAAGGCTCACTACAGAAGACTGCACTGAGAAGCAGACACGAACACCACTGCCTTCTAGTAAGGCAGACACGAGGGGTCTGCCACAATGTGAAGCGAAGCGATCTCTCACTAGGTGATTTTTCTGTTTGTTTGGAAAAACTCATGTTTCATAAAATACTATTTATGCTACCTGTTATGTGCTTACTTGATTCATTTAAAAATAACTTTAGGGTCCCCCTGTTGGCACAAGGGGTTAAAGTGCAGCACTATGGAGTTATCTGCAGCCACTGCAGCAGGTGTTCGATCCCTGGCCAGGGAGCTGACCCACAGGGCGCAGTAGACTTCTCCTGTCTCCCCAGTGCTCCCCTCAGCAGTGTGTTTCAGTACATCTGCCTGCCTGTTCTGCTCCTCACCCTGTCTCTGGTGAATCCTCTTACCCCCACCCCGCCCCCACACCTCTGGCCTGTACACCAGTTCTTGTATGCATAAATAAATCTTTAAAAATAAATAAATAAAAATAACTTAAAAAAAAAAAAAAACAGGGCCCTCCCTGGTGGCCCAGCGGGTTAAAGCACTGCACTAAGAATCTAAAGCCACTTCCGCATGAGTTTGATTCCCGCCTGCCCCGAAGGTGACCACATGGCGCGGCAGACCTCTCCTGACCCGCCTGCTGCTCCCCTCAGCAGTGTACTTCGTTGATCTGCCTATTCTGCTCCCCACTCTGTCTCTGGTGAAGCCTCTCACCCTGAGCCTCTGGCCTCTACCCCAGTTCTGTATGCGCAAATAAATAAAGCTTTAAAAAAAAAAAAAAGAATATTATTAGAGAAAAAGTGCAATCAGAAATTTAAAAATTCTTTCACATAAAGTAAAACCTTCAAACTATGAGAAAATACAAAGTGTGATTCTAGAGTCTTGCTACCTGTCTCTGTGCCACTCGGGGGGCCGGACGCCTGCCAGGACGGGACCAGAGCAGCACACACAGCCAGGCTGACAGTGTTTCACCCTGCGGCCCAGGCACCTCCAGCTAACTCTGCCTCCGCTCGCGCCAAACAGTCTTTTATCCTCGATCTCCCGGGGCCACGAGCACCTGGATAAACCCCACGGGGTACACATCGTTGTCAGCTTGAAAAAGGGGGCCCAGCGCCTCTCCAAGTCTCATGTAGTCTCTTTGCTCTCAAGAGAGATCACCAAAACTCCCTGCGGGGGTGGCCTTCCCAAGGACTGACAGATTCTAAAGCTTCAGCACCACTGCCAGAATCCAGCTGAAATTCGTTTTGCCTACTTACAAGTGGAAAGCAAAACTAAACCAAAAGCTAAAAGAACAAAGCTGACCAAAGAGAAGATTCATCAAACTGGGTAACAGAAAAAAGAACACTGACTTCACTGATACACAGCAAGACGACTTACTGGCGGGTGAGAAAGGACCAAGTGTCCACGGTGAACCAGCCCACGTTTATTCAGCCACAGGCAGACCAGAATATGCTCATGCCCACACACTGCAGCGGCTGAAGCAGGCGTGCCCACGGGTGCGTTTGTCAAGTGAACACAGCGCTGAGGAGTGTGGGGTGTGCTGTGCTGTCGGGGAGACCATGACAATGGCCTGTGTGGGGGCACGTTCCAGAAGCATAAAACTGCACAGTTGAAAGGTCATGTGTGGGTTTCCTGAGTGAGGTTTGTAAGCGAGTAAGGCTACGCCTGGGGTGGACCTACCCACAGAGAGGCACTTCCTGGGTGTGGGCAGACATGACCAGGAGCTAATTAATTAGTCAGGGTCACCCTGGGCCCACAGTGAGTGCTTTCAGGCTAGTGAGAAGCTACTGAGTGAGAGCAGCTGGGGGTAAAGTTGAGGTGGCTCGTGAGGAAACCTCCTCCCCCAGAGAGCTTCAGACTCACTCTTCTCAAGGAAGGACTGTCCTGACCGGAGAGCTGAGGCTTCTTAATTGAAGAGAACTAATTTTGTTCATAATTTTCAGTCAAGTTATTCTCAATTGTTAGATTTAATCACTGCAGGTTCTCCCCCCCCCCCCACTATGTGAAAGTAAAGCTCCTATTTGGAATCATTTGGCAGGTTATTTGGGGCTCTAGAACTGATATTAATCAACTTCTATGGGAAAAAAAAATGAAAAGATTCCCAAACTAAAAAAAAAAAAAAAAAAAAAACCAGAAATAATACCAAATGGGAATAGTCTACTATCAGATAGTGGGGAAAGCCTGTACCACTTTATTCCCTGTAAACATAGATTTCAGGGCTTTCCTGGTGGCACAAAGGGTTAAATCACTGCACTATGAAGCTGCCCGCAGCTCCAGCAGCACAAGTTCCATCTCCACCAGGGAGCTGACCCACAGGGCGCAGCAGATTCTCCGTCTCACCCGCTGCTCCCCTCAGCAGTGCATTTCACATCGGCCTGTTCTGCTCCTCGCGCTGTCTCTGGGGAATCCTCTCACCCCCTGCACCTCTGGTCTGTACCTCAGTTCTTATATGCATAAATAAATAAATCTTTAAAAAAAATGTAAACAGACTTTTGTTATGTTCACTTACTACTGTCATTGTTGTTTGTGTCAATGGAATCCAATACAAATCCTCAAGGTACAGAAACGGTTCCCTTAAATGCTTTCTGTACAGCACTTAGACAGCTATGCATAAAAATGAAAGCACCAGTAAATACATCTTGAGAAAGCTCTTTAGGGGACTTAAGAAATGTTGATGAGCACATGTAAACAAAGTATTTTTTAGAGTTCAGACTAATCTTCAGTATTTTTCTAGTTCTAATGAGTCCCTTCTACTTTGGATAAAAATGATACCTCAAAGGGAAGTTGGAGTTAAGGCCATCACAGACCCCAAAGCTAGAAGGAGTGATGGGACCAGGACCTGGCCACCCCACTTCCAGCAGCAGACTGGGCAAGGAAAATTCCTGAACTTTCCAATCTAAAGAAAAGGACAGAAGTCAGCACCACGCTCCAAGAGGCAGGTTCAGAAATATAAAGCTCTCCAAGGCAAGGAGGCACCTGGCCTCCATATGCGCAATCTAGTCAACCCACTTCCTCCACAGTCCTGAAAAACCACGACACAGCGAAGCCTATTTTAACAGGAATAAGACAAAGTAAATAAGTATCTAAGCAGAGAAGCTCAGAAAGAGCTAATGAGTCATGGTTGCAGAGAGGAAGGAGTTAACGGAGCAGGCCTGCTCTCCTTCAAAGGCCTACTGCTGCCGTGCTGCCCGATGGCCTCCAGGGACCGGATACGGGAGTGTTTCCCTCTTTCCTGCTAGAGAAGGCTAAAGGCGCCTAGCTGCTGTCCAAACAATGTGGCGTATGCTGAATACCTGCCTTCCTTCTGGAAGCCTGAATTTTCGTACATACCAGACAAAAGGCACCTCTATGGCCAACCCAGTAAAAACCCTGGGTCTGGGCCTCGGCTTGGGCCTGGGCCCCACGTGGGCTTCCCGTGTCACCACTTGCTGCTGGAATAATGGAGCACATCTGTGTGACTCCCCTGGGAGGTGACTTCTTGGGAACTTGGTCTGATTTTCTGCCACCTCAAAGTTGCTTTGTCCTTTGCTGTTTTGCTCTGTTCTTTCACTACTGTAAACCCCAGCTGTGACTATGACTATAAGCAGAGTCTGTGAACCCTCTCAGTGAATTTTCATGCCCAGGGGTGGTCATGGAAACTCCAACCCAGTTCTTTAAAAAGCAAAGGCAGCCCCAGGCAGTAGAACCAGAAAGGAAGGGCCTATCTCAAATTCTGGTGTACTATAGGTAGGTCAGGCTTTACCTGAAAGTCTTCATTATGTGCTCAGGAGCAAGAGACCTTCCGCCTACACTAGAAACTTCAGGAGCGGTTTTTCCCCAAATATTTGACAGCAGTCACACGCAGGAATGGGCTCATTCAGGATGAACTGAGATCAGAATGAAACAGCAGAGCACTTTACCTCACTGTAGAAAAACTTTCTAATAACGAAGAATTGGATAAAAATGTAACTGTCCACCTCAGAAAACACAGAGTTGCCTCTCCCCGGAAGTACTGAAGCGGAACCTGGGTGCATCTGTCAGTAGTGACAAAGAAAGCGTCCACAGCCTGCTGAGAGAAGAGGGCACTAGGCCTCCACAGCCTCTCTATCTTGGCAACATGCAGGGAGTCAATGATCCTTCAGCACACTGTGCACCCAGCCCTGGTCAAGACTGTGAAACCTAGTCTTCATCCTCATCTTCCCTTTCAGAAGTTCCAGCTAGCCCAAACTCCAGAAGAGTGTACAGAAGCATCGCCACTGGAATATCTGCTCCACACAGATAGTCATTTTGTGCTGAGAACAGCATTTTTATAAGACAGACCCTCCACAGGCCACCAACGAGGTCACTGCTTTCATGTCGGGGGAGGCTATTCATGTAACCTGCAAGTCTCTGTCCACTTTGGCCCAAAAAGGGAAAACAATGTTGAAGAACTAAAGCATGTGAGGAGTATTAACAGCTATCTACAGTTCCACTTGAGCAGGACTCAAGTTAATGCAGCATGGGCAGAGAGGAATGGGATTGTATGTGGAGACGGGACCTGAAGGGAAAATCATCTCAGTCCCAAATAGTCAGGGGAGAACGGAGTTGGCCCACCATGGGTTCAGGGAACTCAGTACAAATTCAGCAAGATACAAAGAGACCAAGCAGATGGCAAGTGTGTGAAAACGACACCGTTAAACTATATAACACCCGATGCGCACACTTTACGGGGGAAATCAGCAGATGCTGAAGAAAAGCTTGACAGAAAAAGTGGCACTTTATCTCACTTAACACAAAGGAAAAAGCAAAATGTGATAGGAGAAAGACAGCAAAGACTCTACCAGAAAAAGTGAGCAAAACCTGCCTTCCCCACATATTTGACAGCAGTCACATGCAGGCATGGGCTGATCAGGATGAACTGAGATCAGAATGAAACAGTGGAGTGCTTTACATCACTGTAAGAAAAACTTTCTAATAACGAAGAGTTATTAAAAATGTAACTATCCACCTCAGAAAACATAGAGTTGCTTCTCAAAGGCAGAAAAGAGCAGGTGCTTGTGTGACACAAAAATGGCCTGGCCAGAACTGTGTGATGTCAAGACAGTGAGAAGAAAGCTGGTCGGAATGGAACATAAAACAGGCCTGATGAGGACAAGTGTTGAAATCAAGCAGAACAGTTTAGATTTTATGCCAAAGAAAACAGGAAGTCATTTCAGTCCTACATGGATGAATGAAACAGAAAGAACTTGAGAAGAATTGAGGAGTGGTTGGGTGCCCTTCCTGACCCCGGCCCTCCTCCCCCGCCACCACCGCTTACCTCCGCAGGCAGCTCTATGGATCTGTTCCAAGCACTCGGTGTCCACTGCTTAGAGATACTGACTTTGACATTGCTGAACGTTTTTCTTGAAGCGTGAAGCAATGAGTAACTATGAAATAGAGACAAAAGACAGCTGACTGGAAGGCAAGGGAGATGGAACTCAATAAAATCAGAGATAGGTACCACTTGTTTGACTGGATTTTAGAATTCTTCTTTGAAGAAGGCAAAGCACTCCTTTAAAGAGCTAGCAATTGGGGCTCTCCCTGGTGGTGCAATAGGTTAAAGCACCGCATTATGAAGCTCTCCAAAGCCAATGCAGCGCGAGTTTGATCCCCTGCCAGGGAGCTGACCCGCAAGACGCAGCAGACCTCTCCTGACTCGCCCGCTGCTCCCCTCAGCAGTGCATGTCAGTAGATCTGCCTGTTCTGCTCCCCACTCTGTCTCTGATGAATCTTCTCATCCACCACACACCTGTGGCCTATACCTCAATTCTGTAAGAATAATTAAATCTTTAAAAAAAAAAAAAAGAACCAGCAATTGAAGTGGACTCTGCTGAGCAAAAGTGAAGCATAACCAGTCTTCTGCAACATGAAATCACTCAGAACTGATTCTTATACCAAGAAGATGGAGGTGGGACTAACCCCAAACCTACTCTGACATAACTAGAGAAATATTTTCCCAGTTTCTATTTTAATAAAACACCAAATAGTGGTCCTTTCAATAAAGGTTAATAACAAACAAATCAACACGGAGGAAATCATCACAAGAGCTGAGTCACCAGGCTGTGAACAGCATGTCCCTCACACCAAACAATCTGGCTTTTGTCATCTACAGTCCACTAAAGAGAACCACGGAGGCCACAGGGTCATGACCTCAGACCATTTCATCAGTGGTGCTAAGCAGGAGGGGCTATGACGCTCCGGGATTCCTCACATTGTCTCATCCATCTCTGCTGCTCAAGGAGGCCCAGGGCGTTCCCTGAACAAGCATCTTCTTTGTCCTCAAGCTCTAGGTTTTAACGATGAAGGACTTACTGTGAAATCAGGCATTCTCAACCGTAGCCCTGACATTTTAGACCCCAAAATGCTTTGCTGTGGTGGGCAGCTGTATGTTGTAGGGTGTTCAGCAGCACCTTCACCCCTACTTGTGAGAGGGAGAGGCAGTGCCTCCCTGTGAAACAACAGAAAGTGTCTCCAGACACTGCCAGCTACAGGTAGAATGGCCCTGGGAACTACGGAATTGGCTCCGGAAAGTACAGAAGGATGAACCAGTATGTCTCACAATTAGCCCCTGCCCATGCCACACACCCTCTCAACTTCCTCAGTGAGGAAAACAGCGAGACAGCACCGACCTGAAGAAAGTGAGCAGGAACACAACGATGTGATGATGGGTGAACCGTGAGAGCACAGTTCTTCTCTGGAAAATACTGGGCCAGGCCATGTTCTTCCTGGAGTTCCTTCTGCCTTTGACCCTGAAGCTAGGATACTCAATGATTTACGTCATTTCTTCCTTCTGGGAAGACAAAATACATCATTACCATTACTTGATATAGGCTACTTATCCCAATGCTGAGTCCTTTAGACTTATAACCAGTCAGCACATAAACAGGCCTTGGGGGGAAAAAATTCACAAAGGCTCATTGATACCAGAAAACTCGATTGATGGTTATGTTTCATGGCTGGTCCTTTAAAAAAAAAATCACTGGTAGAAAATTACATACTAAGAGAGAAAACTTGCATACAAATGGAAAAATCACTTATTGTGACAGGAAAATGAGTAAAGAAAACGAATAGGTAACTCAGCAGAAGTGAAATGACTATTAAACTTATCAAATAAAAGCTCCAATCTCACTAATAACACAAGAAATGCTTATGAAGGCAAGAAAAGGTTTGCACAGCTCAAAAAAGACTCAAGTTCAAGGCAACTTGAGGTGTCAAGATGCCAGAACTTTGCTCTGCTCTGCTGCCGGAAGTGAAAACCAGTACAGTGTTCCAGGCAGACACTCTGGCTGTGTTCACCAAGACACTCGGACGCAAAAATTTAATTTCCAGCAACGCATTCCTGAAGAAATACAAGATGCATTCAGGTCTATGAACGCAGAGTGTCCGGGAAGCTCCTTCAGGTGAGGAGAGGAAGAGGCCCTCCTCCTCCCACTACTGCTCTCACCTCTCCTTACTGTGACAGCAGCTGGCATGCTCTGACAGCCCAAAATAATCAGATATAAAGTAAGCATCTGAGTATAACCTCTCCAGTTGTGAGCCTACAGAAACGACCTAACCATGGCTGAATCCCATGAATCAAGGCTGTTCAATAACATGAGAAAATGTCAAGTGAAGAAAGTGGGGCAAATAAAAAGGAAACACACCTGTTCCTCCTCTGGGAATAGGGAGACAGGTAATCTTAATTTCCTATGTACTTTCCTAAAAAATCTACAACACAAGTAAACTTTTTATTATCAGGAGGTAAAATGTCCATAGCATTGTAAAAGTCCTATAATTTATCTGCTTTTTAGGGAAAAAGGTAAAGTGACAAAATAACTTGCCCAATGAACATACTACGGTAGTCAAGGGAAGAGACAAACTCTAGAGCCCCTAGTGGTGAGATTGGTGAATTACAGGGCCCAGACTGCCCTGTCACTGCTGGGATTGTGGAGTTTGCACTGGCCACAACTCAGGAGATTAACCCAAGCCATAAAGGCAGGTCCAGGCAAAAGGCCATTTGCATAAACATTTGGATAAAAGGAACAATAAGTGAGAGCATTTTAAATGTCTATCAACATTACAGCCGACTCACTCACTGGCTGTGAAAGCCTGACTCACCCCTGTAAATCAATCTTCTGTATAAATGCGTATCTTACCTCAGAGTTGTGAGGAAAAAGTAAATGGTGTATGGAAGGTATTATGGTCATTGTTTTAGGCACTGATTTGCCCAGGATGAATCCCACATCAGTAGAATGTAGCTAATTTCATTTAGTTCTCCCAAAGAATGTCAGCAAAATCATGAGCCCAGCAAGACTATAAAATCACACTCAGGCCTCCCAGGTGGCCTAGGGGTTAAGTATCAGCACAAGCATGTGACACAGCAGACCTCTGCTCTACTCAGCAGTGTAGTTCAGTGGATCCGCCTGCTCTGCTCCCAGCTCTGTCTCTGGTGAATCCTCTCACCCTGCACCTCTGATCTGTACCCCAGTTCTACAAGAAAATAAATGAAATCTTTTTTTAAGGTTTATTTTTATTTACTTATGCATAGAAGAACTGGGGAGAAGGCCAGAGGTGGGGGGAGGAATCACCAGAGACAAAAGTAGGGAGCAGCTGAGGGGAGCAACGGGTGAGACAGGAGAGGTCTGCTGCACCATATATGGGTCAGCTCCCTAGTTGGCGACTGAGCTCAGGCTGTGGTAGTGACAGACTTCAGACCTAACCCCTAAGCCGCCAGGAAGGCCCCCTCCCAAAAAATAAATAAAATCTTAGAAGGAAAAAATAAGATTCTACTCATATGCACTCAGCCTATTACTTAGTCCTTATTGTCCCCTAAAGAACCTCCCAAATCCATCCAGAATATAGATAACCTTTCTTAGATCAGGGAGGTTAAAAACCCGAGAGCTATTAACGCTATATTGACCTCCACCCCCAAAAGTAAGCACAAAGCCCCCTTGGAACAGCTCCAAGCTCCAAGCAAGCAGTCTTTCTCAGCTCTTTGCAGTGAAGATATTCACACCCCAAATGCTGTACTGAATGCTTCAGGAAAGGGTTTGGGTAATGAGAGTCTCTAATTTATCAGGTAAAACAGTAATTCCAGCAAGGTGTACCCCGAGACTCGGCCTACTCGCTTCAGCAGTAGTAGCTGTGTATGTTACACCAGGAGCTTTAAATGACTATCACACGGGGTCCATCAGGATCCAGGTTCTGAATAAACCAAGTTTTCCTTCGCTCAGTGAAGGGGGCAGAAAAGGCTTAATAAGTACATTGGGAAAATAGTTTTAAACATTCACCTGCTGTTGGCAGGATGCCACGTTAAATGAATACCACCACTATAACATCTGGGCCTATGTAATCACTGTAATTAATCATAATAATACCTTGCACTTATGCATTGCCTACATCCCAGAAGCAACTTCTAGTCATCAGTGAGGGCAGAGCCCCTGGGGAAGCGCAGAGAGTTTTTGCCAAGTCTGAATCCATCAAGCACGGCCTTCTTTCCGAAGACCATTTTCTTTTCCGCTCTAAATATAGACTGAACAACTGCCTAGCATTTTTCACGTATACGTAAATGCTGCTATAAAGATAACAAAATTTGTGAGTTTCGTTCTTCACAGCAGCTTATCATTTAGTATTTTCTCGATCAATGGATACTGAATAGACAATTATCACTTCAGGATGTGACTTGTCTTTTTTTAAAACAAAGTATGTATTTTCTGTGGCACAGATTCAATAGTGTGACGATGTCTTAGACAAGAAAATAAATTCTAAATGTAACTGTGTTATAACATATATGCACTTAGTGACACTTGCGTTTTGAAATACAGACATAAAATGTATCATTTTTTTGACACTATTAAAAATAAAATCCTCGCCTTCAAAAAGGACCAGCACCCTGGAGCCCTGGCCTGCTTTTCAAACCAAGTTCATAGTCACTGACTCCTCTGATTTGTCCTAAATCATCATCCGTACAAGGTAATTTTCTAGTTTGGAACATTCCACGCTGAGATCAAGGCCGGATAAAAGTTGGTGCCACATGGAACGTGTCCAGGTAAACACTCCCTCCTATAGAACGCTGCCTTGGCATACAAAATATTCCCAAAGTGTCATCTCCTATGTATAGCAGCGCCCATTCCAAACTAGAGGAAGATGTCAAGTTATACTAAGGACACTCAAGGAAACAGCACAAAGTGGGGAGACTGAGGGAAGGGGCACAGTTCCCGCACCCAGCCCTGCCCGGCCCATCGACACCATCTCCAACCGCACCAGCTCTCTCCCCTCCAGCCTGCTGACTTTCACACACCCCCATGGACGCTCCTCCTGCCTCAGCCAGGCATCGCAATCAGTCATCTCCATGGATGGTCCCCATGACGTGGCCATCCCCGTCCTGTCTCCTTCTCTCCCACAGAGGCGCAGCGCTCCCCCTTACCCACCTTTTCTTCCCGCTCGCCTGGCCCCCTCTCCCTGTGCCCAAGCAGCTGAGCTCTGCCAAAGAAAAATCACACAAGCTGCCGGTTTCACATTTTAGATTCAAAACCACAAACCTCAATGAGCAAGCAAAGCTGCCAGGCACGTGCAACTTCCCCAATCACTCTGCCTCCTCGGCCTCTAAGCCCAGCTTTTCACCTTCTCTCACTAAACTCCCAACCTCTCTCTCGCTGCCCCTGCCTCTGTCTGGGCACAGTGTTTTCTCCTAGAGCTGGGGCTGCAGCGCGGCCCCTGGGGCTCCCCCAGTATGGCCCACCCACCGCCTGAAATCCCTCCAGCACCTGAAGGGACTTCCTTTCCTTGCCCACACCCCTCCCTGGGGTCCCCACCTCCCACAATGGTGCCCTTTTGCTGGAAGTTGCCCCTTCATTTCTCCCTTTTACTCAGCTTCCAAATCCAGCCCCCTGCTAAGTCCAGTCTTTATTAGCTCCAAAATGCATCGCAGTCCTTCCTCTCCCGCCTTGCCAGCTCCCTGATGCATGCCCAACGCACTGCCCATCTTCCGCCAAGGCCAGGACCACCGCCCAGCTGGTTTCCCATCCGCACACCCACCCCAAGCTCACTCTGCGCACACCAGCCACAAACATATCTGATGACATGAACAAACCGCCATTCCTCTGCTTAGCGCGCTTCAATGGCTTCCCAAGCTCCAGACAGCAAGACACAACTCTTGCGCACGCCCCTCCAAGCCTGCATGCGCCGGTGTCCCGTAGGGAGCAGGGGAGGTGACCGCTGGGGCTGTCAAGAGGCTAAGAGGCCGGCAGTGACAGGAGAGGTGGGTTTATTTAATTGGTTTTGTTGTTAGTTGTTTTTTAATTGTTAATTTTTAATAGGTAACAGAAGTGGAAGACAGAAAACTCAAAGACACCAAAGGGGACCCTGGTGGCGCAGCAGGCTGGAGCACTGCTCTGTGAAGCTAAGCCAAGCTGGGCCGCAAGTTCGATCCCCACCCAGAGGTGACCCACAGGTTGCAGCAGATCTCTCCTATCTTGCCTGCTGCTCCCCTCAGCAGTGTACTTTGTTGATCTGCCTGTTCTGCTCCCACTTTGTCTCTGGTGAATCCTCTCACCGCCCCTGCACCTCTAGCCTGTACCCTCATTTCTGTAAAAAAAAAAAAAAAGACACCAAAGGGGCTACAGAAATGTCTCCCTCCCTGTTCCTAGGTCACTCTGTGCCTCTGTGCTCTTGCTGCGTCTGTAAAGTTTGTGCAGATTTCAGCATACGCTCACACACCAGCACAGGACACTCACCCTGCTTCCTTTCCGTCACTTAGCAGGAGCTGGGATCACCCCAGCCTGGGCATCTGGGGAGTTCTGAATCCTGCCAGTCTATGCAGCAAGGAACATTACATTCCCTTTCTACTCCCTGTGCACTCTGCCCCTCCCCTTACCAGCTCTGCACCCCACACTCCTACAATCTCCCCATAGGGAAGCCCCTTAGCCCTGTACCACCAAGCCTTCTTGCTTCGGGCCATCATGTCTGCGCGCCAGCACCTGAAATGCCTTTCTCCTGGGTCTTTACAAATTGCTGGAGCTCATCCTGGAGTACGCTGTCCTGACAGCTTTACCTGAACACTGTCCCTCACCTGTTTCTTCCCTCCATAGCATTACCCCCACTGAATTACCTGCTTTAACTGTTTACATGTTCATCTTTCATCTGTAAGTGCCACAGAAGCAGCGGCCTTTTCGGTCACAAGTCCAGCACATGGCAGAGCATTATCAACAAGGATTTGGGGAATGAACAAATGAATGAATGATCTGACTGATGGGCAGCCCTGAGTGCATTCAAGGTGCCAGGAACTGCCCCAGTGCATGGCTGGCATCACCTGTTCTCTCAGCATCAGACAGTGGAGAAAACAGATTTTAGAAATCTGATTTAGAAATGAAGCAAACATTCAAACCCAGACCTCACCTAGCACCCAATGCTATACTGTGTAAGGGAAAAGGTTAAAATATAGACTGTCTCCAATCAGAATTATCCCACCTTAAACCTAGAGGTCTAAATCTAAGATGGGAAAAAACACAGTTGGTTGGTCTCGTTTCAAAAGACAAGGACTTGAACATGGCAGACTTACTTCCCAGATCTGTTTTCACATTTGCAAAGCAAAGGGATTCTCTGCAAAGTATACTGAGGTGAGAGAAGTATCAACTGGGTATTTATGGTCACCCACTTTGACAGTATTGGCTATGCGGTAACTTACCACCCCAATGCTGACGTTCATACAAGTCTTTATCCTACATTATCTCATTGGAAGTCATTTAGCTGTACCAGCTTAATCCTTTTATTCAATACTAAAGCCTGCCTACAATTTTGCTGTCTTCTTAAATTGTTTCTTTACCACAGATATAAAATGCCTAGCACTTATCTGTAAAGTGCTCTCATTAAGGGTTCCCAAAACCACATTCTCCCCATCTAGCCAAGCACCGTCCCAGACAACTAGTTTTCAAGATTCAAATCTCTTCCTCTTCTACATTAAAGAGCTCATACTCAATTTAAGGGTCAGTCCTGTGACATTTCTTTATCACCAAGGAACAGGGACAATTCAGAACCTGAAATAATGAAATCATCTGATGCTGACATGGGGCAAGTGTTGACATGGGGCAAGTGACATGGGCCACTGCATTGATTCTGCCTGTAAGAAGTTATTGTTTCATACCCATTTTCTGATGCAAACACTGAAAGCCAATGAGTAACAGAATGATATATGAAGCCCCCTGTGGCCCACAGAAAAAGGCATTAAAGTTCCAGCTGGAATCCAAGAACCTCCACTTAACTTCTCTGAGCTTCGATGTCCTTACTTAAGGATCAAACCAGATCATTTACGGAGAATCTTTGCACAGTACCTTGCCAGGTAAGCACCAATGTCCCACCGATGTAAATATCCAACAGATGGGAAAGAAATGTCGGCACCAAAACAGGGAAGAAGATAATCAGATTTTGCTCAGCCCGGGAACATGTTCTTCTTCCTACAAGCATTGCAGTGAAAGTTACCAGGAGATCGCCCACAGTCTTACATGAAAAGAAACACCAAAGCCCCTGGGGACACATTCTCATTATCCCCTGTCAAAAGTGAGCATGAACAGACCACATTCGCCAAATGAGAATACTCAGCTTAGGAGGAAGAAGAAATCTGAGCAAATTCCTTACCGAGCCCATGACAATCACCAAAACAACAAAACCCAGATGTTCCACAAAGACCCTTCTCCCTCTCTGGCCCCGGCACATTCTTTCAAATGCGTCCCCACCCCACCCTGAAAACGACTCCCCGCGCCTGGGCTAAACCCTAAGTCCCTTGTCTTGCAGAAGAGACCCCGCCGGGCGCGGCGTGGGCCAGGCCGCCGGCTCCCCCGTCGCCCCTCGC